AATAGGAGTGGCATCAATGGCATTCTTGTCTCGTTTTCAATTTCAAAGGAACTCTTACGACATTTTACTGTTAAAGATGATATTTAATGTAGATTTTTTGGTAGCTCTCCATCAGACTGAGAAAATTCCTTTTTTAAAAAAAAATCATAAATAGGTACTTATTTTAACAAATGCCTTTTCTGCAATTATTGAGGTAATTAAAGAATTTTTATTTTGTAGTCTATTAATGTGGAAATTTATCTTGATTCTATGTTTTATAGTTTTCCAGTTTTATGCAGTCACTCTCAATCTTAATGTTTAAAAATCTCTTTGCACATAGTAAACTTACATATTTTAAAGTCTATCTTATTTCAGTATCCAAAGACCCCTATGCATCTGTTTATATTCTTTATTTTCCTGCTGGTTATTGCGTATGCCTTATTTTCTGATGTGCCTGCTTATTTTTGCTTATGAACTATGTATTTATAATATTTTAAACAGAAAAAAATAGAGACCAAGGATGATGTTATCTTCCTCCAGAGAGGATTTATGTTTATTTCTGCCAGATGCCTGGTGGCATTAACACCCAAGGTTGCTTGAGGGCACTCTCACTCCAGAGAGCTTTAATCTGTGTTCCGTGACTGACATAATTTAAGCTACAAACCCTGCAAGGGTTTATCTATTCTGGTCCACCTTCATTTCTAGAGTGCAGTCTTTGGGATGTACAATGTACAATGTACAACGCTCCACTAAGTGAGCACTTGGACCTTAATCCTGTCCCACAGCCCGTTGAAGTCATCAAAAGCATTTCTCTGCCTCTCAATTCCCCTCCTGAGTTGGCAAATGCCCCTAGGAGAAGCAGATCCAAATACTGGGCCATCTCCTTGGGACTCTGCTGCCCCCAGACTCCCAATGCTGGCCTGTTTTGTTAACTTTGATGCTTTCAAATGTAAGTTTTTCTTATGGCACATTGGCTCACACCTATAATCCTAGCACTTTGGGAGGCTGAGGCGGGTGGATCACTTGAGGCCAGAAGTTCAAGACCAGACTGGCCAACACGGTGAAACTCCATCTCTACTAAAAATACAAGTATTAGCTGGGTGCGGTGGCGTGCACCTGTAATCCCAGCTACTTGGGGGGCTGAGGCATGAGAATCATCTGAGCCTGGGAGGTGGAGGCTGCAGTGATCAGTGATCGTGCCACTTTACTCCAGCCTGGGTGACAGAGCAAGTTTTTGTATTAAAAAAGAAAAAAAAGTAAGTTTTTCTATTTTTGTTCAATTTTTAAATTTTCAATAGAAATGTTAGTGTGAATTACTTAGCTTGCTATTACTGGAACTCCTTTATTGATTTTCTAGTGTTAAAATCAGTTTTGCTTTCCTGGAGTGAATCTGATTTGGACATGATTTATTATCTTTTTAAATGTTTTGCTGGATGAGATAAATCCCTAAAGTGTGCTTTCCAGGACCATGTGAAGAAAAATTAAGGTGGAAAGCTAGGAAGCAAGAAGAGCCCTTGGCTAAGCATGTATTTCCCTTATGTTGCCTTGAATTTGTCACCTAACTAGCTACACTGCCTGAAATCTCACCAGAGAAGAGAAATCCCAAAGAGAAGTCTCTGTGTCACCAGGCCCCGTGTTATTTTTTAAAAATTATTTATTTACAGATAGGGTCTCATTCTGTTGCCCAGGTTAGAGTGCAGTGGCATGTTCACAGCTTACTGAAGCCTGGACCTCCCGGGCTCAAGCAATTCTCCCACCTCAGTCTCCTGAGTAGCTGGGACTACAGGCACATGCCACCACGCCCAGCTAATTTTTGTGTTTTCTGAAGAGATGGGGTTTTGCCAATTGTTGAGGCAGGTCTTGAACTCCCAAAGTGTTGGGATTAGAGATGTGAGCCACTGCACCCAGCCCAGACCCCTCCGCTAAAGCAGAACACCCCACAGCAGTGTTAAGGGGCCAAGCCTCCTTAGTTTAATGAGACTATTTTCCTTCTAAATAGGACTCATTAGGACTCAGTCCCATGCAAAACATAAAACTGGTCATGGAAGGAGAAAAACCAGGAATTTTAGAATTTCTCCCAAACGCAGGTTGAGAAGGTCCATGAAGAGGTGATCCGGAGAGCCAGGCAGTGGGGCAGGTCAAAGGCAGCACTCAGACCAAGCAGGGCAGGGCCTTTGGTCTCTGTTCAAATTTGAGGTGTGAGTTTCCCTGAATGTGACTTTGGGGCCTCCTGAATAGACAGACTGTTTTCCTCCAACAGCTGGAGGCACCTGAGACCTCGACCTGCACTCCTCATGGGCAATACCTCCAGAACACTGAGCCTCCCTTGCAGTTTTTATCAAATTCCTCCTTAAAATTTTATCAAATTTCTCCTTAAAAGGGCACTGGAGCTCTGAAAAGCAAGCCAGGCCCTGAGAACAGACAGACACAGTAACTGACACCAAGCCAGCTGACATATTTTATCTGGAAAATGCCTGAGCCAAAGCGAGCTCCTGGTCAAACACTGCACATATCTGAAAACCAGGCCACCAGAACATGAGTCCAAAGAGGGCCATTGCTATATTGTTTCCTTCCTGTGGCTCTTGGGACTGCTGTATCCAGCAGGTCACCTGGCACTTTAGAGAAAGGGGGTACAGGAGAGACACGGAGAGTACAGCACAGGAGGAACACTCCATGTTCCACAGGAGGCCATGCTGCCCTGGAATTTAAAGTGCCACTCTGGGCCATTTGAATACCTTAGACTAACGAAGGATCCCCAGGCTAGGGGAATGAATGGTGTTGGGAGACCCTAGCAGAGAGTGGGATCTAGGTACTAGGAGAGAGTTCCCACCAGGCTGCCCACAGACCCTCCCTCCGGTTGCAAGTCCCTCAGGGAAGAAACAGAGGCTACTTGGTAAGCCATGAGGAGGGGCCTCCTCCCACAGAGGCCATCCCTTTTCTGGCACCCTCAAAGCACTTCCGGAGCCTGGAATAAAGAGAATGCCGGCTGAGCGTGGTTGCTCACGCCTGTAATCCCAGCACTTTAGGAGGCCGAGGTGGGCGGATCACCTGAAGTCAGGAGTTCAAGATCAGCCTGGCCAACCTGGTGAAACTCGTTTCTACTGAAGATACAAAAAATTAGACAGGCGTGGTGGTGGGTGCCTATAGTCCCAGCTACTCAGGAGGCTGAGGCAGGAGAATCGCTTGAACCCAGGAGGTAGAGGTTGCAGTGAGCCGAGATTGTGCCACTGCACTGTAGCCTGGACAACAGAGTGAGACTCTGTCTTAAAAAAAAAAAAAAAAAAGAAGAGAGAGAGAGAATACGAATGACTATCAGAGCAAAGATTTCTCATGGGCCCTGATCTTAGCTATCATCTGAGAACCAGAGAAAAATAGTTATCTAAGAGGGAAAAATAAAAATAAAAACTAAAGCATTGTACTTATTTTCTTTCACATTTAATAACACAGAAAATAGTCACCTAACCTCACCAGCAATGAATAAAATACTTTCATTCTATCAGGCTCAGCCAAAAAAGGAAATCTTTAATGGTGGGATTTCAAGTGTTTGCAAACCTACGGGGAGCCATGGGGGAGTCAGCGAGGCCATCCCCTGCCCTGGACTACTTCCCAGAGGACCTCTACCCTGCATTTGGGCTGTAGCTGAGGACTGGGGTTTCTAGTACCTATGCACGCCATGTGAGAATCTCTGATCCTCCTTCCCTACCCATGGCCAAAGTCTCAGGCCCTTCCAGTTCTGCTCATTCCTCAGGACTCAGACTCACCATGTCCCCCTAAGGTTCTCCCTGCTCAGGCCACAGTTGGTCAGAACATCCTGGTCCCATGCTCCCTGGTCAGGGCTCAGAGTACCCAGGTGCAGCTGGGCTGGCATCAGGACAAAGCCCTTTCCCCAGAGGCCAAGTCCGGCTGCACCTGACTTTGAGTGTAGTGGCATATATTCATTAATATGCCTGACAGGGCCAGACGTGGTGGCTCACGCCTGTAATCCAAGCACTTTGGAGGCCAAGGCGGGCAGATCACCTGAGGTCAGGAGTTCAAGACCAGCCAGACCAACGGGGTGAAACCCCGTCTTTAAAAAAAAAATATATATATATATATATATACACACACACACACACACACACACACACACACACACACACACACATATATATATATATATATATATATCCTGACAGATGGTTGGCTTTTCCCTAAGTTTAAAAAATATATTAACATCTAAAAAACATTTCACTAAAGCAAAACATACACGCAGAAAAGTGCACTCATTATAAGTGTACTGCTCACTAAATTCTCCTAAAGTGAACTTATCTGTGTAACCATCACCCAGCTCAAGGAAAAGGACAGGACCCCACAGACAAACTGGGTTTTAGAAGTGTTGCTGTAGGCCAGATGAAGTTCAGTGCTTGTTTCTGTGCTGGGTTTTCTCATACTTCTAATCTGACACGGCCTGACAAGGTTTCATTGTCCTTTGCTGTGATGTGACATTACACAGAAAACGCCTTGTCTCACACTGGGTTGAAGGCCTCTAGAGGGCTGGTCCCCAGCTGTATGTTAGGGTCTCTGTAGACAGAGCCTGAATGACCAAATGAATCCAGACCTGGGCATACAGGTGTCCAGCCCGCAGTCGGAGGCTCTTAGGCCTCATTCTCTTTTTCAGATGTCACAGGAGGCCAAATGACCAGGGTCTCCAGTCAGGCACTAGAGCAACATTATTACCTCTACCCTACAGACAGTGCTGGGATGTAGAAAGTAATGATCAGCGCATCGATTCATCCAATAAGCATGGATTACACACCCACCTGGCCCAGGGATGGCACGTAAGGCAAACACAGTCCCTGACCTCGTGGAGAGAGCTCGGGCACCCAACAGGTCAGGAACTAGCAAGAAACCCTTATAGAATTCTAAGCCTCTGCCCTACCCTGCTGCAGTCCTGGCTCCCAGCGGGGAAGCTAACTGGGGCTGTCCCCAGCCCAGAGGTAGAGAGGAAGGTGCCTTAACCAGCTGTCTCTGCTCTTCTGCAGGCCCTGCCATCCCGGTGGGTGTGGACGTGCAGGTGGAGAGCCTGGACAGCATCTCCGAGGTGGACATGGTATGCAGCGCCCTCGGCTGGGCGGCCTCCAGTGAGAAAGCATGAGAGCTGTGGCATGGTGGGGCTTGGTGGGGCAGGCTGTGCCCGTGTGGGCGGAGCGGGAGCTGGAGGTGATAAAATGGGCACTCGGAGGTCAGCCTGGGAGCAGTAATATCTAGAGGGGCATCTCAAGCTGCATGGGCAAAAATAACCTGTGGAGTTGGCTAAATGTAGGTTCCTGGGCCCCATTTCACACTTTCTGATTCAGAATCTCTCATTTTCAAGACACTCCACAAATAATGCGAGTGGTCAGATGAACCACACCTGGAGGGTACTGGAGTGGGCAGTTTCAGGCAGATATTGTGCAGCTCTCTGACGTTCAATTCCTGCTGCAAACGCAGTTCCCCTACTCACTCTGTGGCAGTGCCCCCCTTTCCATGTCTACCCCAATTCTACCACCACAGGCCTGGGTGTCCTGCAGGGCTCACAGTGGAGGGGGCACCCCCACCCCAAGGCCCCAGCCTCCTCTCTTCCTTCTTCTGTGTGCCTCTTTCAGTTTGCAAACTTCCTCTTTCTTCTGCCTCAAGGACCTTGAACATGCTCCGGCTTTGGCCCTCCCCACAGCTGCCTCCCTCTTATTCCTTCAGGCCCCCCGCTAAAATGAGGCTTCATCAAAGAGGCTTCCCTGACCTCCTGATCTAAAGAGTTTCTGTTTTTTCTTCCTAGCCTACTTCATCATTTCTAATTGTGCTATATGTTTATTTGGGGGGCTTTCTTGTATATTGGTTGTCTTCCATGCTTGACTATAAGCTCCATGAATGCAGTGACTTGTGTTTTTCTTTACCCCAGTATCTCTAAGTCTAGTCCAGTATGGCCCCCCCAGGAGCCCTCAAAATGTGTGGAGTAAATAAAAGTTGGGGGAGGCTCCACCTTCCAGCACTTGCATCCCATGGCAATGCTGTTGTGTGCCCTTGAAGGATGGGAGCTCCCCTGACTCCTAATCAACCCAGCACAGCAGAGCTGATATGACTGATGCGAAGGCTGTGCCCCCCGCCAATAGCTCCAGCACCCGGTAAAATATGGGGCCCAGATGTGACAGGTGCAGGTATGACAGTTTCCAAGATGCTAGATTGTACACTGCCAGCCCCCTGGCTATCAGCCCCTGATATCCAACAGCTGAGCCCACTTTCAGAACCAGCTGTGTCTAGAACGGCCTGGCTGCCCTAAACTGAGTCAACCCAGATGCCTGCACTGAGTGTGAAAACTTTTGCCCCGTATGGCTCAGGATCCCAGGGAGAGGTATCTAGAATGACCTGCCTCTCACACAGCAACCACCAACTGTGGGAAGGCAGGTGGACTCTGGCAGTAGGTAGGTAACATCCAAGGTAGCCATGCACCACTGGCATTTGTGAATCTGCACTTCCCCGGGCGATGGCCCTCAGCTCCATGACCTAGAAGGGAAATAGCCAGAAAGGGCATTTGGCTGGTCTCTTCCTACTCATGTATTGGCTGCTCTCCTTGCATGTAGAAGGGGAGTTCCTGGCAGCTGCTGAGACTCTGGGGGCCAGGATCAGTCTAGGGACAGATTCTCATTCATGCACTATTGCAGTCCTCCCTCATTCTTTCCTCTCTTCCTGGGGCTCCGTCTGGGCCCGCCACAACCATGCACTCTTTCCACCCTTCCTCCACCCAGAAGAGGATCTTTTGGGCAGTTAGTTTTCTATTTGCACCTGTGTCAGCTCTGGCTATGGAGAAGGACCAAACTCTTAAGACATCAATCATGCAGGCAAAGAGACACTTTCAAACAAGATCAGATATCAGGCAAAAATTAGAGTAGATATGCAATTGCTCACCCCCTCATCCATTTATCTCCCCAATCTTTCAACAAGCAAATATTTACTGAGTGTCTACTATGTCCTTTGCCAGGTACTAAATTCTATGGTGAATGGGGATTCAATGGCAGGCAAGATACAATTTTTCCTTTAATGATCTTACAAGCCTAATGGCAAGAATCCTCCTAAGAGGGATGTTCGACTATCCACGTTTCTGGAAGTGACCACTAAGCTGAAATGGAATGGTTAGCCAGTGGGTAAGGAACCATGTGTGCAGGGGTCTAAATGAGAGAGAGCAGAGCTTTGGAGAAATCCTTCCCCACTGACACAGGGCCAGGCTGCCAGTGTCACAGCTGCAGTTTTCATTTACAAAGCCTAAGGGGCTGGTTGCTCAGTCTCCAGGGCTCCAGCCACATGATACATAAAAGTGAGCCATTCTCTTTTCAACTGCACGGTGCCATCATGCCACAGGGCTGCAGAACTGTCACCTCTGAATCTGGAGGCTGAGCCTGAGATGTCCATCACAGTAGTGGATTATGGGTCGATTGTAAGGATGGAAGCTTTCTAAGCCATTTCTGTCTGGTCTTCCCCCGGCTCCCACAGGACTTCACTATGACCCTGTACCTGCGGCATTACTGGAAGGATGAGAGGCTCGCTTTCTCCAGTGCCAGCAACAAGAGCATGACCTTCGATGGTCGGCTGGTGAAGAAGATCTGGGTCCCCGACGTCTTCTTTGTTCACTCCAAAAGGTCATTCACACATGACACCACTACTGACAACATCATGCTGAGGGTGTTCCCCGATGGACATGTGCTGTACAGCATGAGGTAGCTGTCCAGGGCCATGGTTCCTTTGTCTAGTGCTGTTACAGTATGTGTGGTCAGGCCCTTTGGCCCTGAAGACTGTCACTACAGTTGGGTCTGTGGGTTCCTGGATGGGATGAGCCTTCTGATGCCAGTCAGAGCTGTCTAAAGATGATGTGGCCACCCCAGCAGGGGGGTGACTTCCCCATCATTGGGAGTCTTAAGCTTGGGTGAGAAGACTACTTTGGCTTGAATGAGTAGATGGAGACAATGAGCTTCCACATACTGTGCCTTCTGTTCCCAGAGAGTATGCGATTCTAGGTGATTGGTAATAAAGATTTTTTAAAAACACTCCAAAAAGAAAAAGTCGGGCACGGTGGCTCATGCCTGTAATCCTAGCACTTTGGGAGGCTGATGCGGGCCAATCACCTGAGATCGGGAGTTCGAGGCCAGCCTGAGCAACATCGAGAAACCCCGTCTCTACTAAAAATACAAAATTAGCTGGGTGTGGTGGCTCATGCCTATAATCCCGGCTACTCACTTGGGAGGCTGAGGCAGGAGAATCGCTTGAACCCGGGAGACAGAGGTTGCAGTGAGCTGAGATTGCGCCATTGCACTCCAGCCTGGGCAATAAGAGTGAAACTCCATCTCAAAAAAAAAAAAAAAAAAAAAAAAAAGCTACTGTGTATTGAGTGCTATTGCAGAGTGGCTTCTGGAGCATGGGGAGTTATGTAAGCAGACATACTTCACATTTTTAAAAACGAATTTTTTTTCTTACTTGTCACTGACAAACTCATTGTCCCACATCCCCTGGTCTGCTCGTACAGTCCACCAGAATGCAGTGCTGATATTTGAAACTTCTGGCCTTGGGTGGGAGTTGGGAGGGGGCCTCCCAGGCACCTCTGGAGGAGTTGGCCCTGCTGGCTGAGGGCAAAGCCCAGAAAGAGGCACAGGAGAGAGCCATTAGTAGCCAGTACCCCCAGTGGCTGGGGGAAGGGCGCATCAGCCCAGTACCGGGGATCTGGCAGAGCACTAACACTCCACTACAGAAGACAAAACTCTAGAAGTTAAGGTTCTATAACTCAGATAACTATATTTCCAAACGTCTGCAGCAGATGTGAGGAGGCGGCTTCTCTCAGTTGTGTGCCGTGCCTTCTTGCTCTGGGCAGATGTAGGAGCCAATAACTCCCTGCATAAGCCAATATGTGACTCTGGGTTCTCTAGGATTACGGTCACTGCCATGTGCAACATGGACTTCAGCCACTTTCCCCTGGACTCCCAGACCTGTTCTTTGGAGCTGGAGAGCTGTAAGTATCCGCATCCCTAATTCCCTCGCCTTCTTTCCTCTCTGATCTTTGTGCCATTTTAGGAATCATGAGACTGAGCACTGCCCGCCAGCGTCAAGACCTATTTACTTGTGGGCTGGCATAGGATTTCCCTGTCGCTTCACCTTGCATGAGAAGCAAAGGAGTCAGATTAACTTGTTTTCCTCTTCCCAAAGATGCATATACAGATGAAGATCTGATGCTGTACTGGAAGAATGGGGATGAATCCCTAAAAACAGATGAGAAGATCTCCTTGTCTCAGTTTCTGATTCAGAAATTTCATACAACTTCCAGACTGGCCTTCTACAGCAGCACTGGTAGCTATCTTTCGCCACAATCTGATTCAAATGCACAAGAAAGCACATTTGAGTTCTTCTTCAGCCATAACCCCAAGGAAAATAATGTTTTGTGTGTGTTTTGTTTTTTGTTTTGAGACAAGGTCTCACTCTGTCTCCCAAGCTGGAGTGCAGTGGCGAGATCACGGCTCACTGCAGCCTCAACCTCCCAGGTTCAGGTGATCCTCCCACCTCAGCCTCCTGAGTAGCTGGGACTACAGGCATATGTCACCATGCCCAGCTAACTTTTTAAATTTTTTGTAGAGATGAGGTCTTACTGTGTTGCCCAAGCTGGTCTCGAACTCCTGGACTCAAGTAATTCTCCTCCCTCGGCCTCCCAAAGTGCTGGACTGCAGGAGTAAGCCACCATGCTCAGCCTAAATTTTGATTATTAAAATAATGTAGCCTGGGTGCTATGGCTCGTGCCTATAATCCCAACAGTTTGGGAGGCTGAGGTGAGGATTTCTTGAGCCCAGGAGTTAGAGGCTGCAGTGAGATATTATTGTGCCACTACACTCTGGCCTGGGTGACAGAGCAAAACCCTGTGTCTACAAAAAATAGACTTTTGAGTTGTCTACTTTTAGGCTGTATACTTTCGGATTATTAATTAAAAGTGATTGCAAAAACTGCAATTACTTTTGCATCAACCTAATGATAAAATAAAATAATGCATAGTCTTACAAAATATAAATAGCACTTAAAAGCAGAATGCAAAGAGGAAAGAAGATGTTATCCTCTGAAATACCATCACCAGAGGTAATCACTCCTAACAATTTAGAAAACACTCGGCAAGAAATCTTGCTTTAATTGTGTAATTTTACAATGGAGTCAGATTTTATGTGCTATTCTGTAACTTGATTTGTTCTGTTTAACATATGGATGGATAGCTTTCTGAGGAAATGTATTTATTGCCTATATTGAGATCTGTAGAGTCATTTTAATGCTTAGTGTAACCTCGTCTCAGACCCTGGGCCCTGTCTGAAGTTTTAAGAGGAATGATTTGCCAGCTTTTCTCTAATCTCACTATTAACTGTTGCGTAAGCTTCCTAGGGCTATAGTAACAAAGTACCACATACTGGGTACTTCACACAATAGAAGTGCATTCTCTCATAGCTCTGGAGGCCTGAAGTCCAAGAGCCATGCTCCTCACGAGGGCTCTAGGGAAGGATCCTTCCTGCCTCTTCCTAGCTTCTGGTGGTTGCCAGTAGTTTTTGGTGTTCTAAAACTACAGCTGCCTCACTCTGTCCACCATCACGTGGCCTCCCTGTGTCTCTGTGTTCTTCACATGGTATTCTTTTTTTTTTTTTGAGATGGAGTCTTGCCCAGGCTGGAGTGCAGTGGCAGGATCTCGGCTCACTGCAACCTTCGCCTCCCAGGTTCAAGCAATTCTCCCACCTCAGCCTCCTGATTAGCTGGGATTACAGATGTGCACCACAATTCCTGGCTAGGTTTTTTTGTTTGTTTTTTTTAGTAGAAACAGGGTTTTACCATGTTGGCCAGGCTGGTCTCGAACCAGGTGATCTGCCTGCCTTGGTCTCCCAAAAGTGCTGGGATTATAGTTGTGAGCCACTGTGCCCGGCCCTTTACATGATATTCTCCTCTCTGTGTGCCTAGGTCCACATTTCTCTCTTCTACCAGGATACCAATCATTGGATCAGGGCCCACCCTAATCCAGCGTGAATTCTTTTACTTTGATTACAACTGCAAAGACCCTATTTCCAAATAAGATCACATTCACAGGTGCTGGGAGTTAGGACTTCTCACACAACGTCCCTTTAATTCAGCAGGTGATCACCGAGGATCTCCTTGAGTGAGGGCTGCGTAGGGCCTGAGGGGAAAGAGAGAAGCCCAGATCTTGGTTCTTGGCCTCAAAGATTTTTCAAGGCATTGAGTGGAAGTCCCACAGAAAGGAAATGCTCAAGATATGCAGGAGTGTAGATCTAAGTGCTAAAATGTTTGTGTAAACAGTGAACGATTTAGGTTTTGGAAAGAGAGAGACCTGAATCACGAATGGCTAGAAAGACTAAGAAAGGCCCTGTGGAGGGACTGAGTGTGAACTGGACTGCTGGATGGAGGAAACGAGGCTCGGGGATGGGAGTGAGCAGGTGGGCTGAGGCCCAGGACTCTTGGCCGAGCTGCACAAGCGGAGTCTCGGGAGCCTTACGGAAGTTAATGAGTCAATCAGGCTGAGCTGGGGACCTAGGCATGGGCACATTTTAAAAGATCCCCAAGCGCATAGCAGCACTATTCAAAAAAGCCAAAAGGTGGAAACAACCCCAGTGTCTATGGACAGATGAATGGATACACAAAATGTGGCATAGACATGAAGGGACAAAATTATGATTCAGGCCAGGTGTGGTGACCCACACCTGTAATCTCAGCACTTTGGGAGGCCGAGGCGGATCACTTGAAGTGAGCAGCTTAAGAACAGCCTGGCTAACAGGGTGAAACCACATCTCTATTAAAAATACAAAAAAAATTAGCCGAGGATGGTGGTGCATACCTGTAATCCCAGCTACTCAGGAGACTGAGGCAGGAGAATCACTTGAACCCTGGAGGTGGAGGATGCGGTCAGCCAAGATTGCATCACTACACACCAGCCTGGGCAACAGAGTAAGACTGTCTCAAAAAAAGAAAGAAAGAAATTATGATTCATGCCACAATATGGATAAATTTTGAAAACACTGCTAGGTGTGAAATCAACCACAAGAGAATATATATTGTATGATTCCACTTACATGAGTTATCTAGAATAGGCAAATTCACAGAGATAAAAGTAGAGGCCAGGCTAGGTAGCTTATGTTTGTAATCCCAGCATTCTGGGAGGCCAAGGCTGGAGGATCACTTAAGGCCAGGAGGTCAACACCAGCCTGGGCAACAGAGCGAGACCCTGTCTCTATTTTTAAAATAAGATTAAAATTAGCCAGGGGCCAGCCATCGTGGCACATGCCTGTAATCCCAGCACTTTGGGAAGCTGAGGTGGGCAGGTCACCTCAAGTCAGGAGTTCAAGATCAGCCTGGCCAACATGGCGAAACCGTCTCTACTAAAAATACAAAAATTAGCCAGGCATGTAAAAATACAAAAATTAGCCACACTCCTGTAATTCCCAGCTACTCAGGAGACTGAGACAGGAGAATTGCTTGAACTCAGGAGGCGGAGGTTGCAGTGTGCCGAGATTGCACCACTGCACTCCAGTCTGGGTGACAGAGTGAGACTTTGTCTCAAAAAAAAGAAAAAAATTGGCCAGGCATGGTGACACGTGCATGCGGTCCTAGCTACTCAGGAAGCTGAGGAGGGAGGAATGCCTGAGCCCAGGAGTTTGAGGCTGCAGTGAGCTATGATTGTGCCCTTGCACTCCAGCCTGGGCAATGAAGCAAGACTTGTCTCTATTCAAAAGAGAGAAAGAGAGAGAGAGAGAGAGAAATAGAATAAAGTTTCCCAGAACTCATGGGAGGGGGAATGGAGAGTTATTGTTCAATGAGTGCAGAGTTTCTGTGTGGGATGATGAACAAGTTCTGGCAATGAATGGTGCTGATGGTTGTACCATATTGTGAATACTATGCTTGGTGCCAGTGACCTGTACACTAGGCTGGCCCTGGAGGCCTGGGTTGAACCAAGTGCAACTGACTCTATCTGAGGTTTTGGAGAAGTCACTAAGAGTCTCTTATGTCCCAAATGTCAGACTTTAGAATCATGTGAACAGCCTATTTCTTTTTGTGACAGGTGTGGAGATTGGGTGATAAAGGGTTAGGGTCTCACAATAAAGGTGACAATTTCACAATAAAGATGACAGTGACCAGAGCCTAGCTCTCCCAGCTCCTACCTCAGTGGTACTGGCCTCAACAAAACAGAACAACTCTAACCTCTTATGCTCTTGAGCAGCAAGTCACTCAAGAAATGTGGTTGTAATTTGCAAAAAACAAACACAAAACAAGCAATTATAGCCTGGGTAACATGGCAAAACCCCTGTCTCTACCAAAACACACACACACACACACACACAAATCAGCTGGGCATGGTGGCATGCACCTGCAGTCCCAGCTACTCAGAAAGCTGAGGTGGGAAGATCACTTGAGCCCAGGAGGTTGAGGCTGTAGTGAGCTGTGAGCGTGCCACTGCACTCCAGCCTGGGCTACAGCGTGAGACCCTGTCTCAAAAACAACCAACCAAAAACCCAAACAACTAAAACTTCCCTTCTGTTTAGTTCTGCCCTTCCCCAAAATGCTGTGAAGAAAAGTTAGGTAATACCTACTGAGATCGTAAATGTGCTAGAATTGGCAAGATAATTAGGTATAGGAGAAAGGGCTTATATTTTGGAAAAGAAAGGTATTATATTAAGCCAGTCATTAATTTCAACTTTATGTTGCTGACGAGAGCCATGCCAGTGAAAGATGGGCTCCCAGGGACAGAGTTTGCTTTTACTTCTTAGATGGAACCTCACTGGCTTCTTCCTGTGTCCCCCAGGCTGGTACAACCGTCTGTACATTAATTTCACGTTGCGTCGTCACATCTTCTTCTTCTTGCTCCAAACTTATTTCCCCGCCACACTGATGGTCATGCTGTCCTGGGTGTCCTTCTGGATCGACCGCAGAGCTGTGCCTGCCAGAGTTTCACTGGGTAAAAGCATTTCATAAGGTGTGGTAGGGTGGTTATTTTTTCAACTTATCACTATATTTTTAAAAAGTAAAAATTATTATTTCAAGTTCTTAACTGATGAGCTGTCAGAGTCAGAAGGAGCAACTTCTCCTGTTTCTTGCCTTCACCATCTAGATGCTGGTCTCAGTTTCCCCTACATTATGAGAGCCAAAGGGACCTAAAACAACGTCAACTGTGATTACATCACTTGAGAAAGATTCGGGGTTAGACTTCAACAAGCGTCAGTATCAGAGCTCCATACTTAGATAAATAAGGTGATTCTGCAAATGCCAACAATTCCTTCTGTAATTACAAAAACTTCATTTGCTGGCCTTTTAGACAGACTGAGGGCTTGGAGGCAGGCCCAGAATATGAGATTTCTGGGAAAAGGAGGGCCATGTTCCCTGGAGCTGTGGTGTAGACTTTCACAGACCCTGAATTCCATAGTAAAAGTTTACAACATGTCATTGTAAACTTAGACAAGATCAGGTTAGGCTTTGAGAAATATGATGGTTTAAGCAGCAAGACAGAGTGAAGAAGAATCCCGCACGACAGGCCTCTGGGAATTTCCACAGCCTTTAAGGACTTAGTAAGCCTGGCTTAGATGAGGGAGAATGTGTCTATTCCTTGAAGTTTGGGAGAATTCCTTCAGAGGTACCCCTTAGTCGCTGTCTTTAATTCCACATGAGAACAGGTCCTCTCCTTGTCAGCCACATCACAGAAACACAGTCTTTAAGGTGCTTGAAGTAAAAGGAGACAAGCAGCGAGCTGGCTCCGGGGAGAGGAGGCCTGGCGGCTGAAGGGGCAGATCGTCGCCGCTCTCCGAGGCGGAAACACATCTGGGAATTTCTCATGTGGTGTAACAGACAGAGTGTGAAATCGGGGCTTAGTGAGACGCGGGGGCCGTTCAGCCGCCCAACGAACGCCGGCTGTTGCAGGTATCACGACGGTGCTGACCATGACCACTATCATCACGGGCGTGAACGCCTCCATGCCGCGCGTCTCCTACGTCAAGGCCGTGGACATCTACCTCTGGGTCAGCTTTGTGTTCGTGTTCCTCTCGGTGCTGGAGTACGCGGCCGTCAACTACCTGACCACCGTGCAGGAGCGGAAGGAACGGAGGCTGCGGGAGAAGGTGAGAGGGCTCCTTCGGCCCTTGCCTAAGTCCGTGCCACTCGGTGAAAATGAAGGTCGGCTGGGCGCGGCGCAGACGCAGGGGGGGCATGCAGAAAAAGATGTTTGTGCAAAAGGAGGCGGATCTTGTTTTAGAATAGGTTCTGGCTTCTAACCCGAAGGATTCCAGAAAGCAGAAGGCCTTTGGACAAAGACTAGGAGCAGGAAGGCTTGGGTCTTAGACTCAACTTTGCCACCTATGCTGAGCCTCAGTTTCCTCACCTCTAAAAGAGATTGCAGAATGCTCACCTCTACCGTAAGAGTCACATGAGATAATGTATGTGAAAGTTGTTTCGATCTTACACATACATGAGGATCTAGGCAAACAAACTCTCCCTATTATTACTGAACGTGTCTAGGGACAATGTCTCCCTGTCTTATGACCAGAGAAGGGAGAGTTCTAGAACAAAAAATGCCTTTATTTATCAGTGCTCAGTGAAAATTCAGCCACAGTAAGGACTAAAGCTAAATATTTTATATATTTTTCTTTAAAAAAATACTTTTTGGGGGAAATAGGGGAGAGACAGCAGGGGGTGGGGAGCTGGGGAGGGATAACATGGGGAGAAATGCCAGATATAGGTGATGGGGAGGAAGGCAACAAACCACACTGCCATGTATGTACCTATGCAACCATCTTACATGTTCCTTACGTGTACCCCAAAACCTAAAATGCAATTTAAAAAAAAAAAGAAAAAAAACTTTTATGTGTGGATGTAGCAGAAAATTGGAAGTAATATACTATCGGCTGGGCATGGTGGCTCACGCCTGTAATTCCAGCACTTTGGGAGGCTAAGGTGGGCAGATCACCTGAGGTCAAGAGTTCAACACCAGCCTGGCCAACATGGTGAAACCCCGTCTCTACTAAAAATACAAAAATTAGCTGAGCATGGTGGCACACACATGTAATCCCCACTACTTGGTAAGCTGAGGCAGGAGAATCATTTGAACCTGGGAGGTGGAGGTTGCAGTGAACCAAGATCACACCAATGCACCCAGCCTGGGCAACAGAGCAAGACTCTGTCTCAAAAAAATAATAATGAAAAAAGAAATACTATGCCATCTATGCGGTACTGTACTATATTATATTACAGTTGATCCTTGAACAAGGCAGGGGTTGGGGTGCTGACCCCTTGTGCAGTAGAAAATCCAAGTATAACTTTTGATTCCTCCAGAGCTTAACTACTAATGGCCTCATATTGACTGGAAGCCTTATTGATAAGGTAAACAGTCGATTAACACATATTTTATATGTTATATGTATTATAAAATGTGTTCTTACAATAAAGTAAGCTAGAGAGAAAATGTTAAGAAAATCATAAGGAAGAGAAAATATCTTTACAATTCATGAAGTGGAAGTGGATGGTCATAAAGGACTTCATCCTCACCATCTTCACTCTCAGTAGGCTGAGGAGAGGGACGAAAAAGAGCCTTTGGTCTCACTGTCTTCAGGGTGGCAGAAAATCTAAGTATAAGTGGATCTGTATAGTTCAAACCTGTGTTGTTCAAGGGTCCACTGTATACTATGAGATAGAATGCAACTGGGAGATTTTACAAAGCCATACTCACGAGCCTTTGGCACAGCGAGGCAGTCTTTTTCATTCATAGTCAGATTCTTTTTTTTTTTTTTTTTTTTTTTTTATGGAGTTTTGCTTTTGTTGCCCAGGCTGGAGTGCAGTGGCACAATCTTGGCTCACTACAACCACCGCCTCCCAGGTTCAAGTGATTCTCCTGCCTCAGCCTCCCAAGTAGCTGGGATTACAGGCATGCACCACCGTGCCCGGCTAATTTTGTATTTTTAGTAGAGACAAGGTTTCACTATGTTGGACAGGCTGGTTTAGAACTTCTGACCTCAAGTGATCCACCCTCCTTGGCCTCCCAAAGTGCTGGGATTACAGGTGTGAGCCACGACGCCCCATAGTCAGACTCTTATTCATTTTAGTGTTAGGTCAGTGCAAAAGTAATGGCATAAACTGTAATTACTTTTGTACCAACCTAATAGTAAATAAATAATGCTGACTCGCTACCTAATCATTGCCAATCACTGCACTAATCAAAGTGGGTGTTCATCTAAAAGCTGTGGAGATAAATGGACATGAAAATCTCACATTGATGCACAACTGGGCGGCCATTAGCCTTTTAGCATAAAGGAGCTTTTAAAGTTAAAATAATTTATTTTGCCATGTAATGCCATTTTAGTCAATGGGACATTTACATTTTAAGAAAAGAGAATATGTTGCCTTTTTGAAAATTGTCTTTCAACACCTGCATTATACCTGTCAAGTATTTCCACAAAGTCTCTGTTAACTTAAAAAAAAATCAGAAATTTATCAATTTAAAAAAGGAGACTTTCTTATAAAGGATTACAGTCTGCAAGGTAGCCCTCCTGCAGGCTGGGAAGTGCCGCCTCCGGTAGAGACCTGGAAACAGGTACTTTGAAGGAGGAGGTGTTGGAGTAGGAACTTTATGCTGAATATGGCTAAACATACATATTCAATAGATTATGAATATTTCATAAATATTTCAACAGATTTGTGAATATTTATGATCTTAATCCTGACACATGCCTATTGAACAAATGTACATGTAACATACAACCCATGTTCACCTTGGGGTGGAGACTTAACATTTCAATGTATTACAATTAGACCCTATATGCAAAAGAGACACAAAGGCACTCAAGTGAACAGCCTCTGTAAACTGACCAGGACTGGTCCATGGTTGATGGTCTTATCAAGCAAAGGTTCCTAAAATCACTCTCTTGTCCAATCAAAACTATAGTTATGTCTGGTGGAACAGGGGCCGGGGGGTTTGTCAGTCAGTGTCGGATGGTTGGAGAGCTGCAAATTTTTTTTTTTTTTTTTTTAATACAGGCTCTGGCCCTGTCACCCAGGCTGGAGTGCAGTGGTGTGATCTCAGCTAACTGCAGCCTCCATCTCCCAGGCTCAAGCTGTCCTCCCTCCTCAGCCTCCTGAGTAGCTGGGACCACAGGCATGCACCACCACGCCAAGGCTAGTTTTTGTATTTTTAGAAGAGATTGGATTTTGCCATGTTGCCAAGACTGGTCTCAAACTTCTGAAGTCAAAGCCATCTGCCTACCTTGGCCTCCCAAAATGTTGGGATTACAGGTGTGAGCCACTGCATCGGCCCCAAATTTTTTTAACATTGCTTATCTCGAGGCCAGTGCTTGTTTAGCTGCTAGAGAAAAAGAAAAACCTTGTAGCAGTGAGAACACAGTGTCTTCTTTAAGTGCAGGGGTATGTGACTTAACTCAGGCCTCTAATGGCCTTAGGTAATGCTTGTAATTTGGTATCTTATGGCCATAAATTATCAGGGACATAGATGAAGCTGGAAACCATCATTCTCAACAAACTAACACAATAACAGAAAACCAAAAACCGCATGTTCTCACTCGTAAGCAGGAGTTGAACAATGAGAACATATGGACACAGGGAGGGGAACATCACACACTGGGGCTTGTTGGGGGTGGGGAGCTAGGGAAAGGATAGCATTAGGAGAAATACCTAATGTAGATGATGGATTGATGGGTGCAGCAAACCACCATAGCACATGTATACCTATGTAGCAAACCTGCACATTCTGCACATGTGTATCCCAGAACTTAAAGTATAATACAAAAAATATTAAAAAAAAAAGAAAATCTAGAAAAGGTAAAAAAAAAAAAAAAATCTGCTCTGTCTTATGATCTGTATTTCAGCATTAATGCTGGTCAGTTGTGTCTAGACCCCAAAAGGAAAAAGGAAAACAAGGTGTGTTTGACATCTTGTCCCATCATGACTGGGAGCTCAGTTTTTAAGGTTTCTCTGGGGTCCTCTTGACCAAGAGGTCCATTCAGTCAGTTTAGGAGGTTAGAATTTTATGTTTAGTTTACATCTCCAAATATATTATACTAGATTGCTTATTTTAAAGCTCTTTTTTACTTCAGAAAATTTACTTGTTTAAACTTTCATTACCTAATGTAGGTACACTGATCATTGTCACAGGCCTTTGGACTATATTTAAACACTTTTGATTTACAAATCATTAGACTTTCCTGAATAGAGCAGTTGAAAAAATAGCAAAGCCTTCATCTGACAAATAGGGGGCTCACTAACGTTCACCAGCACAACTTGCCTGTTTCCATAGCAGGTCCTGATCTTTGCCAGCAATTGTATGACCTTATTTAAAGAGGCAAGGAAGTCATCTATGGAAAGAGCCTTGGGGCCCCTAAGTCTCCCCGTCCGTCTGTGTGGTAACAGACATTGGGAGGTGAGAGCTTGTACTCTGCTGTTGTCAAATGTAGGATATAAGGCCAAGAAGCATAGTTGCTGGAGTGCAAACAGTGGTGAGAAGACACACACTCTCTCTCCTGCTGCCTCACAGAGAAACCAATATTTACAGTCATTGAAATGGTTCCCAATAGAGCTGAGGTTCCTAAGGGGAAGCCACGGAGTACCTGCCCTGGAATCACCTCCTAAGTCTATTAAAAATAGATTCCCCGGCCACACCCTAGGTCTACTGATTCAGAATCTGAGGATGGCACCCTGAAATCGACATTTTAAGCAAGCTCCCAGGTGATTCCGATGCTCACTGAAGTGTGACTTCCACTCTGTAAAGGGAAAAGCTGCCTGGAACTCGATAGGTCCACCCCTGGTTTGAATGGCAGACAAGTGCAGGCATGACCACACGGGAGCACGTGGGAGCCCAGGGCCTGCCTCCCCTCAGCTGCTCCAGTGCTTTGGCTGATTAGCCAGACCTTGCCTGACATGCCAGGAGCTACTTCCTCTTTCTTAAAAACAAGCTGATCTGTGTGGCATTTCCTGATTTGAACTCAAAATCTTAGGAGAAAAGTCTGTTTTCATTTTAGCAGAAAAATATTCAGTTTAGAGCAAGGAGAAGAAGTAAAGACCTGTTCCTTAAATAAATAAATAAATAACTCTTCATTATAATATCACACAATTTTATCAGTTTGGGTGTGATTATATCTAAATGCAAAGAGTTGAATAGGGCTGGGGATGGTGGTACATGCCTGTAATCCCAGCACTTTGGGAGGCCAAGGCAGATGGATCCCTTGAACCCAGGAGTTCACAACCAACCTGAGCAACTTGGTGAAATCCCATCTGTACAAAAAACACAAAAATGAGCTAGGTGTGGTGGCATGTGCCTGTAGTCCCAGCTACTGGGGAGGTCAAGGTGGGAGGATCCCTTGAGCCCAGGAGGTGGAGGCTGCAGTGAGCCGAGATGGTGCCACTGCACTCTAGCCTGGGCAATAATAAAGCAGGGCCCTATCTAAAAAACAGACAGAGAGAGAGAGAGAGAACGTCTTACTGACCTTTTATCCCTAACTCCCTTATATCTATGAGTCTATGTTAATTATTCAAGAATCGTTGGCCAGGCGTGGTGGCTCACGCCTGTAATTCCAGCACTTTGGGAGGCAGAGGCAGGTAGATCACTTGAGGTCAGGAGTTTGAGACTGGCCTGGCCAACATGGTGAAACCCCGTCTCTACTAAAGATACAAAAAATTAGCTGGGTAGCGTGCTGCATGCCTGTAATCCCAGCTACCCAGGAGGCTGAGGCAAGACAATCACTCGAACGCAGGAGGAGGAGATTGCAGTGAGCTGAGATTGTGCCACACTGTACTCCAGCCTGGGAGATAGAGTGAGACTTCCATCTCAAAAAAAAAAAAAAAAAAAAAAAGTTACTGTTGGAACAAGATACAAAAAATAATAATGAAACAATCATGCCTGATGAAAAAAAAAAAGCCCCCTAAACCACAAACAATTTCTTCAAGGATAAGAATACTTCAAGCCATTATAATTGTGCATAAAACCATTCATCTATTTTTGCATTCTAAAGCTTAATGATATTCATCTGAGAGTTTCAGGATCCATAACAATAAGAGGCAGGTTCTGAAACTTCACTGTTTTGCTTTCCCAGATGGGAAAATAGAGGCACTGAAGGGCTGAGAGCCAGGTCAGAAACAGATTAAAATCAGCACCAGTTGGCTGTGTCAGGTGGGCCTCCTCTGTCAACACCAAGCTTCCAGGCACCAGTGGAAGCCCGCTCTCCACTGACAACTATAGGGAGAGGTCAAGCGAAACCATTTCCTTCCTTCCCACTTAGAATGTCTTGTAAATATTTCCATACTTGCAGAACTATTAAAAGAATAGGATAATGTGCATTCAGGTACCCAGCACCTAGATCCAACATTGCTAACATTTTGCCATTTTTGTATGGCAAAAACTGCACCAACAGATACATGTTTATATGGAGAAAATGTGTTAGGCATTCATTTTCTGAACAGCTATACATTCAGAAAATGAATGCCTAACACGTTTTCTCCATATAAACATGTGTCTGTTGGTGCAATTGAACTGTCTAAAAATATATTGCAAATACCACGACCCTTAACTTCTTAAATGTGACTTTTTAAGGTAAGGACACTCTTCTACCTCATCATCTTTTTCTTTTTTTAAAAAAGAGACAGGGTTTTGCTCTGTCACTCAGCCTGGAATGCAGTGCTGTGATCACTGCTCACTGCAGCCTCAAACTCTTGAGCTCAAGTGATCCTCCTGCCTCAGCCTCCTGAGTAGCTAGGACTACAGGTGCATGCCACCATGCCTGGCCAATTATTATTATTATTATTTTTTTAGTAGAGAAGGAGTCTCACTATGTTTTCCAGGCTGGTCTTGAAATCCTGGCCTCATGTGATCCTCCTGCCTTGACCTCTCAAAGTGATGAGATTGTAGGCATAAGCCACTGTGCCTGGCTCCTAATCATCTTTTGATTCATGCACAGAGAGGTGGAGTCCTGCAGCTGGAATCAGACTATATGGACTTAAAGTCCTGCTCTGACACCAGCTGTGTGGTCTCAGAACATAGTTTTCTGGGACCTAGTTTTTGCCCCTGCAATTGAGGGCATTTGGACTAGATCAGTGGTTCTCAATTCTGGCTACACAGTAGAATAATCTGGGAATTTTAAATTAATTGCTCTAATGTGCAGCCTGGGCATGGCCAGTTTAAAGAGCTGCACAGATGATTCTAATATGCAGCCAGGGTAGAATATCGCTGGACTAAGTAACCTCTGGAGATCTTGTAGTTTTGTCTTTCTGTGGCTCTGAGTAGCAATGTGGCTTTTCTCTTGGACCAGGCCCCTTGCTCTGCCCACCTCACAAGGTTTAATGATGTTCTTTGTGCTTGCTGCCCATAGTTCCCATGCATGTGTGGAATGCTTCATTCAAAAACCATGATGCTGGATGGAAGCTACAGTGAGTCTGAGGCCAACAGCCTGGCTGGGTACCCCAGAAGCCATATCCTGACGGAAGAAGAAAGGCAAGACAAAATAGTGGTCCACCTGGGCCTGAGTGGTGACGCCAACGCTGCCAGAAAGAAGGGGCTCCTAAAGGGCCAGATGGGTTTTCGTATCTTCCAGAACACCCATGCCATTGACAAATACTCCAGGTTGATATTCCCTGCCTCCTACATATTTTTCAACTTAATTTATTGGTCAGTGTTTTCCTAGGGCCTCCAAGGCTGTTCCTAGAAGAAGGCATAGACTTGGAGGGGCCTGGCCAGTCATGGACAGATGGACTTGTTGACCACACACCCCTCACCAGACAGAGCAGCAGCTGCTGGACCACCCTGAGCAGGACCCATCTCTCAGAGGAGCCCAGGAGCCCTCCAACTGCCCTGACCCTGGACCTTGTGAGGTTGCTCTTTGTTCATTCTGTGTCTCACGTCACACTTCATGTCTCTCTGGGACCGCCGTCTTCTGTTCTTGTGTGTGAACTAGTTCACAAGAACTCTCCTCCTATAAACAAGGACTCGAATGCCTTCCAGACATTCTTAGATCCTCAGGATGCCTAGGATTCAGTTATGGAGGGTAAAGAAAAAACCAGAGGGCAAGTGTAGGGGCATTCTGGATAGGAGACAGGAAATTAGGAACAAACCTCCCCTGTAAATGCATACAACTGGATCAAGTGCCTGTCTAGAAGGAAAAAGAGCTCAGATCCCAGACAGGAAGTGATTTGGCCTATGGGAGTATGGCAACCCACAGGATTTTGCAATATTAGAGAAGAGTATTCATATAACCATCCATTCAACCATTTATTAAATATCGAGGTCCCACTCTGCACCAGGTACTGTGGAAATGAAAAAAAGAGTCTCTTTCCTTAGGGATCTTCTCTAAGCTGTGCTCATTCTACATGTGGCGTGATGTGCTCCTGCTCTTTCCCCTCCCTCAACCCCCCTTTCCCCACAGACCCATTCTGTTTGCTGTTGCTTTTACTCTTAGGCATATAAGGCAGTGTCCAGGAGAGACAAGGTGCAGAACCTTCAACTGTCCTCCTCCAGTGGAGTTACGCAGACAGCACTGATTTTGCCCAGCAATGATGATGCCTGGCGACGTGCATGGAGTATTGCCAGCCAGGGAAACTCACCCAAGCTCACCAAAATGTACAGTTTTTTTTGTTGGCGTTGGCCATGGATTTATGGCTGATTGCCCACATGACTGACTTTAGTCTTTAGCCCCACCAGAAGTTGAGCTTGTACCTTGAGGTCCAGGGCACCCATCATAAATCACACTGCTGGCATAGACTATCTGGTGTGGTCCAAGGCCCCAGTACACAAAGACCCTCTGTCACGCAGGATATCCCAAGGGCATAGAGGTTGCCTTCCAGGGGTTGGGGCCAAGGTTCAAACAACCTTTATTTGGGCAAGGTTAGTCCTTTACTACACAGCAACTCTTGTCAATTCCTTATCATTAATATTAATTGCAGTGTTACTATTATATATTCAGGCAATAAACGTTTTAAAATATCTCTGCACTAAGTATAGTGGGGTCCAAATGAAGAATAAGAATAGTCAAAGCTCTCAGAGAAGGAACTAGTAGAGGAAATGCTACACAGATATCTATAATGTAAGGTTAAGACTGTTTAGTGCCTCAGTAATGGTTCAATGTGAGATGAGAATTCCGAGGAAGGAAAAATAGTCCCACTGAGGAGATGGGCCTCATGAAGAAAGCAGCCCTGAGATGCCCCTTGAAGGTCAGGATTTTAAGAAGAAATTTTAAAGATTCTAGGCAGAATACATCCTAGATCCAGGCTGTTTAATGTGGTAGCCACTAGCCACATGCCTATTTAAATTTAAATTAGTTAAAATGCAAATGTTAGCCGGGCATGGTGGTGTGTGCCTGGGGCTCTAGCTACTCAGGAGGCTGAGGTGGGAGGATTGCCTGAGCCCAGGAGTTCCAGGCTGCTGTGAGCTGTGATGAAGCTACTGCAGTCCCGCCCGAGCGACAGATCGAGGCCCTAGCTCTACAATAATAACAATTACGATATAGATTAGTTGAAGTTGAATAAAATTGAAAACTCAGTTCCTTGGTTACACCACCCACACTCGAGTGTGTTCAGTAAGCACAGTTGCCAGTAGCTGCTGCATTGGGCTGTGCAGACCTAAAGACCAGAAAGCTACCAGCCAAGAGACAGCCTGAGCGGACGCATGGGGATAACAGGAAGGTTTGCCATTGCAGAGGATAGGGTTTACAGGCATGTCATTCATTTTGACAGGATCCCAGCTATGGGAAAAGGGGGTGAGAGAACAACTTTTTTCACAACAGTAGGGGTCAAGGCAGGTCCCCACCATGCCGGTGCTTACGAGGACAACTTCCCACCCATGGAGTTGTTGGACCCAAGACCACTAGATTTCCCAGCCTCATAGACCAATGAAGAACAAAAGTGCATAAACAAGGGTGATGGAGTGGTACAGGGTATGTCGACTTGTTCAGAAACCTTTTATCTCTTGAGACTCTCCCAGGCCACAGTGCTGCTCAAAGAATGATAATGTTATTGTCATTAAGTACATCGTTTTGCTTTGGTTGTAAGTCTTATTTAATTCCAACACTACTCCGCTTCTGACTACTACGCATTGTTTTCATAAATTGTGGTTCTTATAATGTGGTTGCCTATTCACAAAGTAAAACAAATAAAGATGTATTTTTGCTAGCTTCTATGTTAAACTGGAGTTAATTCTATAGCAGACATATTTAGGATCATAAACTATGTTTTATCATGCGGGGCCATGATGCAATGACACCATTGTATTTAGCATTGCCTTATGACGGTATAATAGTCTGACACTACTTGGAAAAGTAGAAAATGTAAAGAGGTAAAGTGGAGACAACATCGGTAGGAGTAGAAAACAGGAGCTTAAGGAAATAGTGAGAACCTGGGATGATTCACCCTGAAGGCAGGAAGACAGAGGAGCAAACACAATTGTTATTTGTTATCAGGGATGCATGAATTATACTTTACTTCACTGAATCTAAGACGTTGTGAAATGTAAGATGCACCCATATTGTATGTACTGAGAAAAAATATTAATAAATTCTGGAATGCCAATGATTATAATATGAATTCTGATTTTGCCAATATGAAACTGTGAAAAAATATTAATGTTACAATAAAAGAAATGGGTTTTATACAAAAACTGGTGATTGGACATACTTCATTGACACCAAGAAGCCACTATTTATTTAGCACTTGTCCTCAAGGTCTTGTGCTGAGGTGAGGGATGGTGGTGACAGGTAAAGAAATGAATGGGAAATACTCTTCAGTCATTAAGAAGTTTATACTCTAATGGATGTGGTTCGAAGGAGGGAAAGATCACAGAATTTGAGGAGTGTTTTCTGGCAAATTTTGAGCAATTAATAAACACAGCTTTGACTACTAGAAAAGGGAAGGAAGGGATGATAACTTGGCAGAAGGAAAGCTCAGGTGTGTTCAGGGGTCAGTGAACAGACACCATGTGGAATGTACAAAAGATGTAAGATGGGAAATGTAAGTTGGACAAAAAGGTGCTTTGAGCAGGGAAGTAATAATTTTTTGGAAAATCAATTTGCCATCAGAACATAAACAGGTGTATTTTTTTAACCATTTTAGTTGCCAGTGACAGAAATTCAGCTAAAAATGGTACAAATGAAAAGGAGATATATTGGAAGGATATGCCAAGAGCTCATAGAATGAAAGAGGATTTGAAGGAAGCACAGAAGCTCTGGGGACTTAAGGGTCTGGAATTGGGTTTCAACATGTCCCTTCAGGGTCATGTCTCTAACCATACTCTGTCTTCATTCTCACCCACTGCAGACAATTTTCCTCCACCTGGTGTGGGTGGGCAGGGGGGTGGGTGTGGGGAGTGGTCTTGACAGTCTTAGGCCCACAGCTTTCTAGCTCAATTACCCATTGTCAAGGGTCTTTCTATGCTCATCCCACTTAGAATAAACCTGGGGAATGAATTTGACTGGGCTGGGCTGGGCCATATAAGTTGAAGATGATCAGAGCTCTGTGCTGTGTTTAGGTTGAGAAAGCTGGAACTCTTCAAAAATACTTTTATTTGGTTCCATCTTTTTGCAAACATCTGTTGAAGGGAGGCCATGATTTGAAAAATGAAAGACTGCTTAGTTTGAAGAAATCAGTGAAGAAGGAAAATAACATTAATAATAGTGGAGAAAGTTCACACAAAGTTCAAATGTGTGAGGGCCACAGCCTATGCATTGATATTCACAGAGACCGGAAGCCAGGTGAAAGAGCTGACATGCGTGGAGGATGAGGAATTTGTTTGACAAGGAACTAGAAATGTCAAATGAAAGCAGTAAATGTTGGTGTGAGACTAAGAGGGAGATGAAGATTTGGAATCGTATCCTAAATAGGCTGAACGAAGCTATGAAATGGACCAGACTCCTGAAGAAGAAGAAACAGTTGAGAGCCAGTCACACAGACCAGCTTTATCCAATTAAGAGCTCAGAAGTATATATTTCGGTGGAAGGAGGATTGTGGAAGAATCTGAGAGGAGGGAGTTTTTCAGTGGGAGGAGGGTGGGGCTGGGAGCAAATAAAAACCATAAACATGAGAAGGGTAAAGATTGAACAGATGAGGCAAGGTGTAGGCAGGAGCCTCGGTGGCCACAAACCGAGGTAGACAGCCAATCTTGGTTGCCTCAACCAGTGATTTAGGAAGGTAAAAGGAAAAATGTTCAGAGAATTATGTTACTTGCTATGGAAAGATGATTACAGATTCTCATTATTTTGAAGGCTTGAAACATAACATGGTCGCATACCCAGCCTGAATAAGGGCTGTGTTCTCAACGGCTGGTTCCCCAAACGATTCCACTGGAAAGTGGGGGAGTGGCACATAACTGGCTCATCAGATCCAGTCGTCACAGAATAGAAGAGAACAGCCATGAAAGTGACCATATTAGGTAAACGGCCAAGTGTAGAGGGCATTCTCTGTTCAGCACCGTGCTGAATGCCAGATGTGTGGTTCCTAATTCAGTTCTCACATCAACCTTGCTGTGGCAGGAAGGACTTTTCCCTACTCCATACCTGCTAAGCTGTGGGGACTTCCACAACTGTATTCAACATGTCTAGGTACGTGGACCTTGCATGAAACAATCCATTTCTCATAGTATTTTCAAGAAAAAGGTGATTCATTCCCTTAGATATATGGACAGAGAAGTGGTTAGAAAGAGCAGACAGAAAATCTGGGTGATGCTGAAACACATATACATGGTTATCTCTATACGAAGGTGAGAACTTGGAGTTAAACTAGGACATCCAGTTAGCTCCTTGAGGCAGGAAGTTGGCTTTGAGAGACGCGCACAAGCATATTCAGGGCAGCCAGGGCAGAGGCATCATGGGTTTCTAGCACCGACTCTGTTAAAAGGCACTATTCATTTAATCAGTGCTCAAGGAGAATCCACAGTCCCTGCCACCACCACCATTTGAAACGTCTTGTCTTTTTCATTCCATTGCAAAAGAATAGACAACTGGGGCCTGGGGGATTAGCACCGGTTTGGAAGCAGCTGACTCCCCACTCCCACCATCACTAGGAAATGGTACCGGTAAGGAAGGCTGTGTGCCTTACATGTGTCTGAGGGCAAGTGCGCCGGGCTGTTCTCATCTAGAGTCAAGTCCTGTGCTAGGAGGGTCTCATGGCCCAGCCCGCCCAGCCTCCAGAGCCATCCGGAGCCGGTCCGCATCTGCAGCCCAGGAACGTTCCCCATTAGCAGACTGGATAAAGACTCAGCCCTGACCCTTGGACCTTCAGATGCCATTTAAAAAATGACATTTGGGCCAGCCATCGATAACATTAGGTTTCGGATTTATTTTAAAAGCTAAATTGAAAAATAAACCTTTGCTGTGTACACTGCTGTTTAAATTGGCCAGGTTCATGGTGGTGAATGCGTTTCTCCACCGTGTCCATTTAGCCCAACATGTCTCAAATTTTAATGTGCATATGAATAACCTTCATAAAATGCAGATTCTGATCCAGTAGGTTTGGGAGGGAACTCTGGATTATGTGTTTCTAACAAGCACCAGGAGATGTCTGTGCTGCTGGACTGCGGATGGGACTTTAAGTAACAAGGCCCTGGAGCCCCTGCCCATCATTTGAAGTGAAACTCAGATGTGTCACCTCCTGTCTGTGGCAACCTGACAAGATAGCTCACATTCCCTTCCCAAGGCAGAATTTATTATTATCTCATCGGTGTTCCCAAAGCAGTTTGTGCATTGAGGCACTTCCTTTAGGTTGTGATTATTCTACTTGAACAGTGGTTCCCAGGCTGGCTGCATGTGAGTCACCTGGGGAACTTTTGAAAAGTATCAGTGCCTAAGTTCAGTCCCATTCTGATTTTATTGTGGTCTCAACTCTCTCTCTCTCTTTTTAGATGACACTCTTTTTAAAAGGCTATTGTGGGGATCACTTGAGCCCTGGAGTTTGAGGCCAGCCTGGGCAACACAACAAGACTCCTTCTCTACAAAAAATTTAAAAATTATTTGAGCGTGGTGGCAGTCAGCCATCGTCGCAGCTGCTCAGGAGGCTGGGATGGGTGGGAGGACTGCTTGGGCCCAGAAGGTTGAGGCTGCTGTGAGCTATGATTGTGCCACTGCGCTCCAGCCTGAGTGACAGGGTGAAACCCTATGTCTGAAAAAAACAAAGGCTGGTACCAAAGTCTGAAATAAATTTCTCTAGGAGCGTATTGTCTGGACATGGTTTCCAAACTGTGTTCCCTGGGGAGAAGAGGTTCTCTGGAGGGGCTTTGGGGTCTACTCTGGAGGAATGGGTGGAAGACAGAAGAGCAAGAAGGAACACAGTGCGTGGGGGTAAGGGATGGTGCCAGCCAACCAGCCCAACAGAG